TCGTTATTTAGCAATCATCTGTTCATTTTTTCGATCAGTTACATGTTACAATTAAATTTTTATCTACAGTTAGAAATCATTAGTTATTAATTTATGAAAACGTAATAGTCCAGTGAGGGTGCAAATGAAATTAGGGGTAACAGAAAATCGAACCTCCCATTTTGAACCACGGTTTATTGTATGTAAAATTCTACGAGAAAAGAGAAATGTACGCGTCATTGAGTTTTTTGATATAAACAATTATTTCTAACTAAAACCTACACATTTTCATTAATAACTTTTCAGTTATGCAGAAATCGACGATACTTCACATGAAAGTTTTTGTTCTGTACCGTTTAACACAAATGTTTGTTACTTCACTTTTCTTTGATCGATCTCAAAACGATTTCTTAGCATAATATCGAAAATTTCAGTCGTTTTTTTTTTGTTTTCTATGTCGTCATTTTCTGTCAATAAAAGATTTTCATTCGAAATTTTTTCTAAATTCTATCGATCTTATGCTAATAGATCGATTGAAAAGAATTCTGTACTACTGATAAATTAGTGTGATAACTGTGAAAAAGTTAGCACGCTTTTTTCCATTTTTTGAGATTGAATATCTCAAAAAATAGGAAGGAAATAAAAAATGTAAAATAACAAACATCTGTGTTAAACGGTACAGAACAAAAAGTTTCATATGAAGTATCGTCGATTTCTGCATAACTAAAAAGTTATTAATGAAAATGTGTAGGTTTTAGTTAGAAATAATTGTTTATATCAAAAAACTCAATGACGCGTACATTTTTTTTTTTGCCTGCAAATAGTTTTTTTGGAATTATCATGTAATTTTACATACAAAAAACCTTAGTTCGAAATAGGAGGTTAGATTCGCTAATTAAATTGCACCATTACTAGACTATAATACGAAAAGGAGTGATGACAGTACGTAATGCAAGAAAAAGGATATTTCGAGTCCCACGAGAAACCTGTTAGTCCCACAAGAAAAATATTGAAGAATATTTCCACTAGCGAACTTTCGGAATATGTTTGAAAAAATAAATTTTTTATACAAGAGAATAGTTAAGTGATAAAGCTCTAGCTATTATTTTAATCTCTAGAACGGATAATAGTCCGAGAGTAGTGTAAATTTCCTATGCATTAATTTTAAAAGAGTAGTCTGTGAGCTTCCTCACAATGCCCACTGCATGTTTGCAAGAATTTATCACAATCGAAATACAGTCCAAGAGCAGTATAAGAAGCCCCTATGCAGGTATGCATTAATTTTAAAAGAGTTGATAAAATTTTTTGATGGCAGTTTTCCGTAGAGATTAACAAAAGAGCATTTGTGCCAAATGTCATTGTTTGGAAATGATTATTACTATTGTTTGTCAACGATTGAAATATGGTAAAGTGCATTTTTTGACCTTTTACTGCTTACGCAGTGAGAGCATATTCTTATCTGTTACAGGTGAAATAGTGCAGCGCTTTGAACGCGCGCACCAAAACTGACCATTTTGGGCGTTCCGGTGCACCTTTTCAATTAATTGTTCGGAAAAAAAATATTAATTATTATGACCAAAATTTAAAAAAATTATGGAATATTCAGAATCGTTTTCTGAATATTTTCCCGCGGAATTTATGTAAAAAACCGATTTTTTCAATTTTTTACACCGTTATGAAGGTCTTTTTTCTCTCTCCTTTATTGTCAACCTTGCGCATCTGGATTTCTAAACAATCTTTGGATGATTCATTGGTATTTTAGGAGTGGATAAGATTCTTCTCGCTCAAGAATATATCAAAATTATGTCTTAATTATTTCTACCGAACGATTATTACTTGTATGACCTTTTATGTGAAAAAGGCAAAAAAATGGAAAAAAAATGCACACCGCTTGACTTAAATACAGTATGCAACATTCGATTTAGCTCTGCCCGTTCTGTGAAACTGTAAGTCTTCAGGAGCAAATTTATAATTTTATAAAAACTTCAAAGCAGAATAACTCTGAATATAATCAATAGAAGAACAAACTAAAATACATACTTTGATTGAGAAAATTCCAGAAAATTCGATTTCTACAGTTATAATATTATTAATTAATGAAAAAATATAGAAAAAAAAAAGTAAATAAATCAAATCCAATAACATATTTCTATGGGTAAAAAAGTTTTTTCAGAAAAATAAATAAGTTTTAACGATTATTGGGTGTGTTCATCTTTTTTTTAAAAAAAATATAAATCGTATTTTTTATAACACAAAAAGATGTCTAGAAACCATTAAAATAACAATTTATGAATTTTAAAAAAATGTAATTGAAAAGAGCATTCGAAATAATTTAAGAGTGCTTGATTTAAAATTCATAAATAATATTTCTGTTGTAAATAATTAAAAATATGAGGTTACGATTAGGTTTTAAAAATCAAAAGATTGGGTTTCATTTGAAAAATAAACGAGTAATAAGTTCATTAAAAAAAATTATATGAAATTGTATTTTTCAGAAATTGTTCATAAAATTTGTTTGTGAACATTGCTGGAAAAAATTTTTTCATCTTTTCCAGGTGGAGCTGAAAAAGTTTGCTGAAAATAATTTTTCGTCATACCCGCACGGAAAGTTCACTTTTCCATTGGAGAGGGGTTGAACTTTCCACGCAGGTATGACGAAAAATCATATTCAGCCCTAGAGAAGACAATTAGACTAGCTTAAACCACGTGTTTACTACCCTCGCCTTCGGCTCGGGTTGTAATTTTACACGTGGTTTGAGCTAGACTACTTTCCCTCCCTAGGTGCGAAATGTACTATTTCAAGATACCAATATCTTGAGTCCTTAAATAGGGGTGAAAGTCACGAAAAATGTGTTTTTGATTCCTTGAAGAGGAAAAAGAAAATAATTTGGAAAAAAAGAGATAGTCATTTTGTTGATAGCCTGCGTAAGCAGTAAAAGGTCAAAAAATGCACTTTACCATATTTCAATCGTTGACAAACAATAGTAATAATCATTTCCAAACAATGACATTTGGCACAAATGCTCTTTTGTTAATCTCTACGGAAAACTGCCATCAAACAATTTTATCAACTTTTAAAATTAATGCATACCTGCATAGGGGCTTCTTATACACTGCTCTTGGACTGTATTTCGATTGTGATCAATTTTTGCAAACATGCGGTGGGCATTGTGAGGAAGCCCACAGACTACTTATTTGTTTTTGTAAATCGTTTATAACAAGGGAATTTGTTATAAACAATAGAAGATGGAATCTATTCAATAAATTTGTACTCTTCCAACAGAAATTTCGTTTTTTTTTGTTGTAAAATTGAGTTACAAACTATCCGCCAAAAACAGCTATCGTACGATATTTGTAAAAACCTGTGCCACGTCACTGTTGTTTGTACGTCCGATATTTTTCCCACAGAGTGGGAGTATACCTATATATATATTGTAGAAAAATCTTGGCCACGAGAGAGAGAGAGAGAGGTTTGCGTCAAATGGCATTTAGATAAGACTGAAAAAGAAGAGGCTAGAAATCGAATTGAAATGTGTGGAAAACAGAATTAAGGGCGTGGCCTATTTTGTGTCTCAATAAATACTCAATGAATAAAATTGATTTTGGATTCAAATGAAAGCTAACATTTATTATTGATTGTATATTAATAATTATACTGCAATTTTGATTAGTTATCAAGATATTTACAATCGAGCACTGCATCATGACGTCACGCAAAATTTCACAGTATAGAGTAGCGTCTGACTCAGCAGTGTAAATGTGACGTGGCGCCGAGTATCTACTGCTACTCTAGATGTACAATATATGAAAGCATACTCTTATCGTTTATCACAGTTGCATTCATTACAATCAAATGAAGAAAAATATCTGTGCAACATAAATGAGTTCTTCAACCGCAAACTTTTTTTTTTACTGAAAAAAAATTACCAACCTTGTGATATGAATAAAAACATATCTTTTCTGTTTATAATGATAAAATCTGTTATAAACAAATGAAAACAGGATTTATGTAAAATATTCAAATTTCTTCAAAAAGTAAATTTTTCCTTCAACTGAAAAAATGTCACTAATCGCATAACGTGACGGAAAATCAACCTTTAATTTCACGACGTTTGAATTTGTTTCAAAGAATTCAAAATCAGAATAATGTAATATCATTGAGTTTTTCCAACGGAACCGTTTTTCTTTGTTTTTCCTTCGAAGTAACTACGAGTCGAATACAATATATTTACTATAGTTCTTGAGTTGAAGTCTGTGATTGTGCATGTACGTATGTGCGTTTGGAGTTATTTTTCGCCTCGATTATCTCAAGACCAAAAATGATATCGACGTAGGACCAATTGCATTCGACACATAATTACGCAACTGATAACTGATCAAGTTTTTGACAAACCTTTCTGTGGAATCGAAAAACAGGAAAAAATGGCAAACAAGCTTAATCTTATCATTCTTTTCACTGAAAAGGTAGTCGTGGAGACCTTTTGGGTCACACCCAGGCCACCGGAGAACACTGATATTTTTTTTATCAATAAAATTGTTATAAACAAGCAAAAATTTTATCTTACGATAAAATTCAGCCGTCTTTCGTCTATTACTAATACTTATGAATTGATTTCTTTCAATACCATCACAAAGTGTACGTATCCGGAATTGATGTATTTATACTACACGGTTTGTACTTGAAATGTTGTTCCATCAGTACATTATTTTATAACATTATTATGCACATTACGCGCACAAAGTTGTTGGAATCTGCTAGAGGTCGTATAGATTTTTAGAATTTAGAATTTTTTGTGTATTAGGAGGGTGCAGGCGCGATAAGCATTGTATTGTATTCGTGAATAAGCGAAAAAATTCTATATCACTTTTCGATTAAGAAAATCTTTACAAGACTTTTAACAACCGATCAACACTGAAATTAACATTATTTGGATTTCATCATTCGTTATCAATTTAAGTCATTAGAGTATTGATAAAAAGTTCACATATAAATGTACGTATTCTAATTTTTGTTCATTTAGGTGACTGTGTGGGGTGATTACGGCCGACTGGAAGGAAGGAAAGTATTTATGGGTGTAGCGCAAATAATGCTAGACGACTTGAACTTCAATGAGATAGTATTTGGATGGTACAAACTCTTTGGCACCACATCTCTGGTCAGTGGTCCTCCATCAGTTGTTTTATCTCGTCGCTCTTCAGCTACCTCCTTGGATTCTTTTAAACTTTAATACTTATTATTTATTGAGATTAAAACTATAAATATTAGCAAATGTTATTAAAATGACTAAAGAATTAAAATGTTAATAGAAAAAGAAAGGAAGTGGAGGGGTGAATGGAGAGAGTGCCTATGTACACTACTAATAAGTTAAACAGCGATCAATTCCCACAAAAAATGTCACGTGAAATTGACGTACGTAAAGTATACGATAGCATTAAATTACGTGACAAAAATGATTCTATGGAGGTATTTTATCCTTTTTACTATATTAATAAACTACCAGTAGTTACAAAGAGGTAATTATTAAGTTACCAAAATAATTATTGAAAAAAATGTCTTTACAGTTCGGCAAAACTAAAAACACATCAAGAGCTGCAATAAAAGTAGCTTTAATCCAATGTAAATTAATTTTTCTTTGTAACATAAAAAAATTAATAAATCGATATTCACCTGCTAAATCGAAAATGGAATCTTAAGATAATAAGATCCTTTTTCTTCAAAAGAGTATGCTTTCCTCATAAATAATTTCTGCTGCCCAGTTGCTTGATCATTAAGACTATGATTAATTTTTTTACTCTCGTTAGGTAATGATACTTCATATATCTAGAAGCACCAGAACCCAAGCGAGCTACTATCACTTTAGACAGATGATTTCAGCATAAGGTGTGAGACGCGAATTCGCCTTCGGCTTGAGCGTGAACGCGACATGTCTTGACTGACGCTATCATTTCAAGTCGATGATAGCTCGCTTGGATTCTGTGATACATACGATGTTTTATATGCTAAAGGTTGAATATAAGGGCACAATTAGTTACGGCTGTTGAGTGGAACTTTAGAGGGTAAATGAGAGACACAGTGGGAAGAGTTTCTGATAGTTTTTTTTATAACTCCATTCGAATTACACTTATATCACCAGTCTATAATTAGCCGTTTGAGCTTCGCTTAACAGGCATAATGAGTGAGCACTTATATACCCTGAAGCATATAAAATAATTTTCTGCTCAAGGTTATTAACTAATATAGGCGTATTACACGTTAGAAACACTTCTCCTTTTACAACTTTTTTTGTGGGAAATGATCATTAGTTAAGCTTAATACAATAAGTATCAGATAATCATTCGTCATCATCCGCGTTATAAATAATGGGTTTATCTTTAGAATAATTCTTACGAAATACATTTTCTCACAAATAAAAAAATCGATTACCCAAATCCTGCGTGTAGAAAAATCGGTGTATAGCATTTAACGTTTCAGCATATTGAAGAATTAACTATCTACATAGAGACATTCAATTCAAAATGATTAAAAAAGTGTTATGAACAGAATTTTTATCAACATAATATGATCATTAGAAAATTGAATATATAATACTTTATGTCAGTACAACTTCATTTATAAACACACATATTAGATAAAGAATATTCAAGTTTTGAGAAGTTTCGGGAAAATTAAGATTTAACTGAATGATATTGAATTTATATCAATTGACGATTAGAGAGCTCACTCATCGGTTAAAATTATTGACGGCTTTGAAGACGGTAAATGTCTACAAAATGTAGAAAAATTTATATAAATAATCTTGAAACCACTCAAATATCAAAAAATTGACGAGAACAGTATTTGTAACTGTTTAAGAAATCCCGAGTCAGAATTTTACTCTTATGTTGCTGCTGAACCTCCTGAAAGTCAGGAGCATCAGCGGGAAGAAATTATTTTTCCGTATAAGAAAAACAATATAAAATATTTTTATATTTTGCCGCTGAACCCCCTTCATAATTCCCGATTCAGCACCTTCAGTGGCATAATATTTCATACAAATTCCGGGGCTACAGCGGGAAGAATTTTAAGGGGTTTAACGTAAAAAAAATTCAGGAGGTTTAGTGGGATTTTTTCATTCACGGGGTCCAGCAAGAAGTAGAAAAAAAACGTTAGTGTTCCCGGTGGTCACCCATCTAAGTTCTGTACACGAGAATTTTGCATAACGTCGAGAGATCGAGTCCAAGTCCCTGCATCCACTGCGCTGCGTCGAATTTATAAATTTTTTTTTTTACTTATTTAAATCCACAATAATGAATATTATAAATAAAGTACTATTAATCGTAACTCAATCTTATAATGAAAAATTAATTAAAATATTCAAAATAATATAAAAAATATTTAAAAGTTGCAATTAATAATCACTGATTATTAAAAGTAATTTAATAATTTACCGACATCGTGGCCTAAGTGGTAAGGTGCCAGCCTAGCGCACTATGGGTAGCGGGTTCGATTCCCGGCTGAGACAAGACCCATTTATAATATAGTCTTTTCTCTGACCAGGATGAGCGGGAGGCTTCTCAGAGGGCAGTCAAGGGCGTAAGCTATCGTGCTGATGACTGAATAGTACAAAAAGTGCTATTGCCGCCACGATGCCCTTGGGGAACCAGGCGACACCCCATTGTAGTACAGCCTTGCTGATGCTGAGTCTGAAACCAGGACCCTTGAGGTAACCGGTAGAATCTCCGAGGGTAGGACGATTTCTTGTGGAACTGGGACGACCTCTTAGGTTGACACCAGGCCTATAGATCTTGCCTACCTAAGGCTGAGGAAACCGGGGGACCCATGGGGCTTAGCAGAATCTCCAAAGGCAGAAATAACGTTCTTTCGTACCACCATAATATATATATTGGAAATCGACAGGGACTGTTTCGGGGCTCAGAAGGGAACCAAGGCAACTTGGGAACCTAGGAAACCTGCAGGCCTAAGACATAAGACGACCGCCTTTACTGTGCAAACAGACCCTGTACAAAGGCCCTGTGGCTAAGTGCAGGGGAAGGCGGGACATTCTAAGACATCTTCCATAAAACTTAATAATTTTTTTTTAAATAAATGTTAATAGAAAGAACTGAATACTATTAAAAATAGTTTATAAAAACATTCTGTACTCGGTAGTAATAAAAAAATCATACTAAATATAATAATGTATTGTTATAAACAATAAAATATTATAGAAAATATGTCGTCACCATTACTAACTATTAGAAATTATTTAAAATCATTATAAATAATTTTTAATCGTCAAATTTTGATAAAACTAATTTAATAATGTAGATTTCATTACTAAATTCATAATAATTATAGAAAACGCGTAGATATTCTGGATGAAGACGAAAATTTTTATTTTAAATAAAGTATTGTAAGCAGGTTCAGCGACAAAATAATTTCTGTCAGGAGGTTCAGCAGTTAAAATAAATTTTTTCAGGGGGTTTAGTGGGAAAATATAGATTTTTAGGGGGTTCAGCAGCAAAATAATAGTAAAATTCTGACTCAGGATATGTCATTGCCTATAGATTATCTATAGACTAGACGTAGACGTGGCAGCTATGCATTTATGCATTTGAATCATCAGAATGATTAAGTATGCACTAGGAACGACACAATGCTTATTGAATGTTGCATCTAAATTTTGAAAGTTAGTAGAAAAGTGTTGTAAATAGCTTGTATGAATTATTTATTATTTTATATAGTATTCCGCTTATTTAGTTAGTAATTAATGATTGATTCATATTATCAATCAAAAGAATTACGTCTCTAATGAGAGAAAGCTTTTTTATCTTATATTCCTCCGACATTATCACTGCAAATTAATGGCAATTCAAATATTCAGTAATAAGATACTCAAAGCATTTAACAAATTAATCTAAAAATGCTGTCGTTCGTTGGTGACATTCGAAATTGTAAACCCGAGGAGTGTTTAACGGTGTATTGTACGTAACAAGTAGTAATTATTGATGATTTGCATATTGAAAAATTTTTCAGTGCAAAGTTCTTCAATGTAATTTTTACTTATGCCCCTTTAGAAATGATTTCTTTTTTAGATAATACTACTGATAAAATTATAGAAAAATTGATGAATGATTGTATATTATTAGTATTAATTATTCTTATTGCATTCTAATTCTTATATTTTATCGGTAAATTGATGATGGTATAGATTGACATTACTAATGTTAGCGAGCGGAATAAAAATAATAAAATGTGAAATTATAAACAGATTTTATTGTTAAAAATCGTACGAAAATATCATAAAAATAATTACTAAAAATACTCAACAATTACTTTATAATGTCAAACACCATGAACAAACTGTAGGAGTATTTTCGGTAAATTTTGAAAGTTTGTTGCGGTTTATTAAAAAGCTATATTTTTTCTGGCGTTTAATATTATGAAAAATGAATCATTTAATTATTAAAATATCAGTGCTCTCCAGTGGCCTGAGTGTGACCCAAAAAGTCCCCACGACTAACTTCCCAGTGAAAAGAATGATAAGATTTAGCTTGTTTGCCATTTTTTTCAGCTTTTTAATTCCGCAGAAAGGTTTGTTAAAAACTTAATCAGTTATCAGTTGCGTAATTATGTGTCGAAAGCAATTGGTCCCGCGTCGATATCATTTTTTAGTCGCGAGATAATCGAGAAGAACTACAGTAAATATATTGTATTCGACTCTTGGGATCATGAAACGTGAAGGTATATCAAAATTCGGGATTCACAAAATCAGACTCATTACTATAACTTCTTACTGGGCAGTTAATAATTCAAGCGTCCGATTATTAAATATTTGAATTTTCTCAAATTTGCAGTGAAAGCCGATCTAATGTAATCGAATTCATAAGCCATTATTCAATTTCTGTATCTTAATTTTCTGCATCTGCATTCTTTTTCCTTTCACGGAATGGGATTATACTATGTAAGTTTACTCATGAAGATGTTTCAGTTGCTAAAGGAGCGATATAAATTAGTCATCGCTAAATTTATTGTTAAAATAGGAGAATTTAAACTTTTGAATACACATTTTTCATTTACTTTCGTATTGAGTATCATTCGTTGGATCATTTGTAAAAATATTGATTATACTTTCTAAAAATGGATCAGTTAATAGTTGAATAGTCTACTAACAGTATACTGTCATCACAACACTGTATGTTTTTGAATGTTAACAGACGTGTAAAGAATACCTTCTAAAAAGTATTTAAATAAAAATACAAATACTTTTAAGTTTTTTCTTCTTAAAAATAATATAAAGCAAATATATGTATACATATCAAGAACACTCGTTTGAAATTATTCAAAAAAAATATAAATACTCGGCTTGAGATTTTCTGAATTGTACACAAATCACTTTCAGATAAAAAAATACTAGTAAAAGTATTCGTGTTCTGACATCCAGGAAGAATTGGATGGAAAAGTGAAAAGTTCTAGCAACAATAACTGTCTCGACATAATTAAATCAGTCTCTTATGTAGCGACAGTCACACACATACAACTGAGTTGTTCGTCAGTGTATCGTAGATGTACCTCTCGGTGAGGCAATATAGCATCTGTGCCTACACAATTTCGCACCCACCAACACAAAACTGGTCTACCTGGACCACTAACAGTGATGTTCATCAAAATAACTGGTCACGTTTGTTCGTAATGAACTGATAGAGATCTCTGATAAAAATTTTCACTTAAAAACTAAAGTTTTGTGCACGAACTGAAGATTTGGTCGCGTGAATTGCCTGGAGCTAACTGTCACCACAAGTGTCAGACCTCGTGTTCGTTAGCGTCATTAAGGCCGTAGAGTTGCCTGCTGGGTCATAAGAGAAATACTACTCTATGATTGGTCCAGTGAGTCGACTCAAGCGCCAGTTACAGAATCACGCATTACAATCTTTAAAATATTTCCGACTAACTGACTTGAAGCCCTCCAAGTACGAACGATTCGCAAATTAAAAAAAAAAAAAAAAATTTTGTGCTTATATACAAATTAGCAGATTTCCGAGACTTTGTCCGCAAATAAGCCAATTACAGAGAGTTATTGCTGTGTAATAGTATTAATAAAAA